TTTATAAAAATGTTTTGTGTAAAAAATGTTCATCAGCTAGTGTAGATGGAAAAATGCAGAGGTGAAAATAGTTCCCAGTCCCAGCAGTGCGCTTGTGCTCTAAAAAAGGTTGCAAGTACCCGGTTCGATCCCCACAACCGGCACTCTGGGTTCCTGAGCAAAACCCTTAACCCCACACTGCTGGATGGGTTAAATGCAGAGAGTGAATTTCCCCATTGTATTTATTGTACCAATAAAGGGTTTTTACATTTTTGAATTACTTCTTCAACATGAAATGTACCCCTAACCCCCATCTACTATGTTGGACAGTAGATGGGGGTTAGATTTTGATGACACCAAGCTGTCGGCTTCCATGTGGCATTACAGCACAATCGGCACGGTCAGGACTTAGTAGCCGTCTCCGTTCCTCCTTACCCTTTAAACCTCGGACTTTAACTACAACACGGACAGCTGCCATCTCCAGAGAAGGCTGAGGTCCTTTAGAGTTAGCAGGCCACTGCTTAAAACCTTCTATGATTCTGTGGTGGCATCAGCCCTCCTCTGTGCTGTCGTCTGCTGGGTCCCTTGCAGCACAGAGTGGGACAGAAAGAGTCTGAACAAACTGGGGAGAAAGGCCGCTTCTGTCCTAGCCTGTGCTCTGGCTCTGGACCACTGGAGGAAGTGACTGAAAGGAGGGTGCTGTCCAAACTTACAGTGATCATCAACAACACCTTTCACCCTCTGCTGAGCCGCTTCTTTAATGAAAGACTTTTACACCCTGTTTGTAAAAAGGAGCGCTACCACAGGTCATTTATCCCTGCTGCAACCTGGCTCTACAATGCAACACTAAAATGGCAATAACTTGTGCAATGTATAATGGGCAATTTACTATTTGATACCCTGTACAATAACCTGTTTCTCTATATTTGACACCCAGTGCAATAATTATATATATATCAGAATCAGACGTACTGTAATAATCCCAGAGGGAAACTACAGTTTCAGTACAACCTTTCATCACAATACATCACATACATTAGGGTGGGGTGTTTGGGGGGATTAACTGAGGCCAAGCTGCCGGGTTCCCACAGGTTACCTGGCTGCCCAGGTCCAGGCGGTTACCTAGCGCTGCCAATATCTTTCTGTGGAAAGATAGGAGCCACATTGGGGAAGAGAGGGGAAAAAAACATTTCACACTTTGTACTTGACATATATATAAATACCCATGTAAATACCCTGTATAATAATTCTACTATAGAAAAAAAAAGTGTCATATGTGGACGCACTTTATACACTGTATATATCCATTGCACCTTTGCCTTCCTTTGGCACTTTCTTCTTCTTTGACTATTTGAGCTGATGTAATGTGTACATTTCTCCACTGTGAGATCAATAAAGTCAATCAATCAATCAATAGCTGCATCAATGGCCACCACCTGGACTTCTGGTACTTCAGTGGTACTGCCAGCAGATGGTGCCATGTCTGTTTATGTCAGCCTATCGCACCGGGTGCTGAGGTTCTATTTAGGCTAAAAAAAGGACAAACAAAATACTCTCAGCATGGCACTTACAGTATGTAGACTTGTTTTATCATATGCAGCTGGATTTTGGTCATTTTGTTGTAGGTATAAACGGTAGCTATGTACCTTTAAATTTATGCACCCAACTGTTCTTTTTTTATTACTGCTCAACAAAGATTTCACATCTGGAAGAAAGTATGATTCAAATAAATCTACGATAACCAAAAATTACTTTCCTGTCCTGGTAATAGGATGAGCAAAGTTTGTTCCATGAAATGTTTGTTAAATACGGAAAAGAGATTATCACCCGAAGGACAATTTCCTGACTGCAGAAATGAGAGTAAACCCAGGATGATAAAGTGTTTTTCCTAGGAATGGAGCGCATACCTTTTCATGCTGACTGAATGTTGTAACTGGCAGCTATGTAAATACTGATGGTTGTATTACCAGTTTCACTGGAAGCAAGGAGTAATTGGAAGTGACTCAGTTTTCCCTCAGATAGACAGACAGCTGTGTGACTCACCAGCAGTTCAATATCTGGAAATGTCAAAGGATCATGTTCTTGTCTCCGAGTGTCTGTCCCGTGTTTTATTTAATGTGCCCAGTCCAGCCTGTCCCCAGAGTGTCTGTCTCTACAGGACTGATGAATCAGGAGCAGAAGGAAAGTGTCATCTCCTCTCTAGCTCTTCCCTTAAACAGGGGGAGCCTAGACATTGATCTGCTTCCTTCTCGAGAATTTCTGGCAGCCACAAAGCACCAGACAGCAAAGCAAACAGGATTAGCTCCTAGAAATATACAACTTCTGCAAAATATTGCCTTTTACAATACAAAGTATGCCAAAGAAACACTTGTTCAGAGCCATAACTTTTTAGAAACTTGACTGTATATATTTATGTCCCCGTTCCATATTTATGAGCTTGTTCCTCCTCTAGCTTTTTTTATTTTCCTCTCTGGTTGTGTTTCTTCCCCTGTCCTCTGTTTCCTCCAGTCGAATGTGAAATTAGAGCTGCTGTCAGACAGTTTTACCAGGTCCTGTAGGAGCGAGCTGCCACAGACATTTATGCTTTGGAAGCAGGACAGCAGCCCAGAGCTGGAACCAAACAACGAAAGGGCTGGAAATTCATTTTATTTCACATAGGAGGAATAGAAGTGCAGCAAGACGGATCTGTTCTTCACCCTCAGAGGGTAAAAAAAGGAAAATATAACAATTTATGCAATTATGTAATAAATAAAGAGGACAGCTGAGGTGAATGAGGACAACTCTCCTCTTTTCGTTCTCTTTAAAACTGTTCAAATGACCAGAATCAAACCCAAATAATCTGAAATCAATAAAGCAGCAAAATATTTGCATATGATCTGTAATCCGAGATTCTCCATGTCGTATTTTGGTACCAGCTTTGGTGCGAACCAGGCTTGTCTGAGGTGTTTGCATTGCATTTTCCCGTTGTCTGTCAGACTGAAGTGGGAGGATGTGGGAGATCTTTTCTCTTTAGACGTCTGGCTGCTCTCCTGCTTTATGATAAAGCTTCATCAAACCACAACAAGGTAGAGCAGAGTCCAGAGCGGGCTGGGAAAGGTAGGGGATCCAGAAATACAACTTCAAGACATATTTATCTGAAAGAACCCAGTTATTTATTGTAAGTGCATATTTTCAAGGAATTAGAGTTTTATTAAAGGTTGGTCATGTTGTTTTTACTACAACTAAATCTAAATTATTGCTCATATCAGGATAATATCAGATGTCCTAACGAGTAATCGATATCTTCATAAAATCTGACTCAGCAAATCATTGAGATTAATAAATTCATCCCATTAGCCACGAAAAACAGAAGCAGTTTCCTTTTTTACCACCTGGTAAAATGATTTCTCTGATAATAACTGTTATTATTAATAAGTAACTCTGTCCTAAACATGTATTTTACCAGGAAATGTTTTTGATGTTAAGGTATTTTTTCCCTCTAGCAATGCACATGTGTTTGTCATAAAATGATTAGTGTGAGTAAAACTACAGTCTTAAAGTAAAGTTTGCATATAGTGGTTATAGCAGTGTGCTTTTGGTCTGAGAGGGTTGCAGGTACCCGGTTCGATCCCCACTGTCTCCACTCTGGGTTCCTTAGCAAGATCTTTAACTCCTGATTGCTCCCCGGGTTCCACACAATGGCAGCCCACTGCTCCCCAAGGGGATGGATCAAAATGCAGAGAACAAATTTCCACATTGCGGAACAATAAATGGAATTACATTTAAAGTTTGGTCATATTATTTTTCAGGCAACCTTCTGCTGCACCTATCAATCACTTATTAGGCCTGTCACTTATTTTATGTCTACATTAGAAATACATATAAAATAAAAGGTAAAATAAAATAAAAGGATTAGAAAAACCTTCATCTATAGGTTTTAGCAATCTTATCCCAATTACAATTGCTCCCATAATGACAGTGAAACAATTAAAATATTTTGGTAGTTTGTTATATCTGTCCCCCTGTTTACTAGCCTGGGT